AGAGAGAGAGAGAGAGAGAGAGAGAGAGAGAGAGAGAGAGAGAGACGAGAGAGGAGAGAGAGAGAGAGAGAGAGAGAGAGAGAGAAGAGAGATAGAGAGAGAGAGAGAGAGGAGAGAGAGAGGAGAGAGAGAGAGAAGAGAGAGAGAGAGAGAGAGAGAGAGAGAGAGAGAGAGAGAGAGAGAGAGAAGAGAGAGAGAGAGAGAAGAGAGAGAGAGAGAGAGAGAGAGAGAGAGAGAGAGAGAGAGAGAGGAGAGAGAGAGAGAGAGAGAGAGAGAGAGAGAGAGAGAGAGAGAGAGACAAATCCTTAACCATTTTCAGTGAGTTGGCGCTGAATCTAGTCTGAAATTCGCAAATTGATATTTCCAGACGATGTTTTAATGCTTTGAGACTCTGCTTGTGGTCCAGGAGCTAAGTGTCAACTGCATATGAGATGAGGCGCCCATGTAACAGGTGACAGGCAAGTCGTTCGTGCATAGGATGAAAATAGTGGAACGACTATGGATCCCTGGGGCCCTCCTTGGGTTACCGGTAGGGTCGTCGGTCCTCCACACACCACCTGTCTCCGACCGTTCAAATAGCCTGTAATACACTAAAACGGTGAGCGCCGACCTTAAGAGCGGGCCGACCCAGCCGTCTCCTGCGGGGAGACGATGGTGATCCCTATGTATTTGTGTGATCACCATGCCAGGGGCAGTGAGGTCAAAACACGCTTCCGTTGCGCAAAACGCTAGCACACATGTCAATAAAAATGCGAAAGATGATGCTAGAATGCAAAACGCATCTTGAAGCACCAAAACGAGTCCACATGCTTGAAATAGCGTTGGTTAGGACTTACATATACGAGATACCTTGAGGCGCATCATCCCTCCCGGCAGCATGGAGCCGCTGCCCCGCCGCCGTCCGTCTCACTCTTCGCACACGCGCCCAGCGTCCGCCAGGGCGCGGACGGGACCGGAAGGCCGCGCCGGGCTGTCGTCGTCGGCACATCCGGCCAGCGTTGGCACGTGCCGGTGCAGTGTTCACGCACCCTGTGGTCACGTACTGCAGAGCCAGGTCGAACGGCGGCAATGGACCGGCCGCGCAGCGCGTGCAGACCAGGGACAGGCCCGGCCCGGGGAGAGCTGCGCCAGTCAGCCGGCAGTGCAGCGCGTGCAGACCAGGGGCAGGCCCGGCCGAGGAGAGCTGCGCCAGTCAGCCGGCAGCGTAGCGCGTGCAGACCAGGGGCAGGCCCGGCCCGGGGAGAGCTGCGCCAGTCAGCCGGCAGCGCAGCGCGTGCAGACTGGGGACAGACTCGGCCCGGAGAGAGCTGCGCCAGTCAGCCGGCAGCGCAGCGCGTGCAGGACAGACCCGGCCTGGGTAGAGTTGCACACCTCGTTTTTTCAGCATGGACTTATTAAGACGCATTTCGGGTGCCAGATAGGTCCAAATTCGGAACTTAGAGAGCGGGCGGGTTTACATCCCGGGGTTTATGCTGGAAATCGAGCCCACCGACATGACCTTAGTTCACGACCTCACCCATCCGCGCGGCGAGCCGTCTGGCGGCCGGCCGGTCTGTGGCAATCACGTGGTAACGCGGCTATCCCAGATCAAGACAAAACAGCTTTACGGGAAACCCACAAAGCTAACGATAAAGCTTCGACATGTGCATAAGCGTTTGCGAATGAAACATACATTTTATGCGGGCACAGCAACATAAAGGCTGCTAACTGGGTTATCGCATTGTCCCATGGTGAATCAGTCTGATGGCCGCCTGACTGGACCTGTTCTGGCGAGTCCCCTCGGTGACACATCAAACTTAGGTTTAACCCGGAATTACAGAACCCCGGGATGGTGTCGAGTGTTTTTCGGCAATGCTTTTTTTAGTGATCAACGCTCGGCTTACCATAGTCCCTTGATCCTGAGCCATCCATCCATCCCAAACCGATAAAGGTTCAGTATTTTCGTGACGTGTGCCTCTCCCTTGGCTGTTGATAACAGTTGATGGCATTATTATCCGGCCGCGATTGACTCAGCATACACTGCCCACACGGCGCACCCGTGTGGGCAGTGTATTTTGGTTTAACCCGGAATTACAGAACCCCGGGATGGCATCGAGTATTTTTCGGCAATGCTTTTTTTAGTGATCAACGCTCGGCTTACCATAGTCCCCTGATCCTGAGCCATCCATCCATCCCAAACCGATAAAAGTTCAATATTTTCGTGACGTGTGCCTCTCCCTTGGCTGTTGATAACAGTTGATGGCATTATCATCCGGCCGCGACTGACTCAGCGTACACTAGCCCACACGGCGCACCCGCTCAGCGCCAGCGCGCCGACGACCACGACGTACCCTGCGGCCCAGTCCCGCGGCGTTCCAGCGCGTGCCTGCGCCAGTTCCGGCGCATTCCTGCCGTCGGCGAAGTCGTGACCCTACCAGCCAGCGAGGCTATATAGGGGGCCCAGCGGCGCTGTGTCACGCAGCCTGCGACGGCTGGCCATGAGATGTTCAGCCACGGAACCACGCTCCATCAGCACCACGGTCAGTTCAGTGTCGGGCCAGTGCCAGGTGCGTTCACTTCACGAATGGCCGCCTCCACAAGTTGCGAATCACTGCTGCTTGCTTTTCTTGAGTTATACATGCATGTATATATATATATATATATATATATATATATATATATATATATATATGTATGTGTATGTATAGTTATATATCCCCGCGGTGCGCCTTCTGAATAGAGGAATGCTTACCCGGTCTGCATCGATAGTTTACCGTTGTTTTTGAGCGATGCATCTTTTTTGCGTCAAGTGCGTGAGTAAATGCCAGTGGTTTCTGAATGATACATTTGTTTTAGTTCGCATTTTCTAAACATTGCAAAAACAGTGCAGTGCAGAACAAGCATCACGTGCTTAACGATGAGCTTTGAACTTTCGACTTTGAAGGTCTGGTCAAATGCCTTCTCTGAAATTCAAAAGCAGCTAATTCGCACCACATATTTGCCATGCGAATGTAGGTAAAGGAATCCTGAGGGCTGACGCTCCTTGGTCCGCCGTGCAGCATAAGTGAATGCTGCTGACGCAGCTGAAGCCGCCGCCGTACATGCTGCTATTCATCCTTACGGCCATCCTGCTGTTTACCTCAGCAAATACCGGCCCGCTGGAGAAGGCCAGCCAGGCCCAGCTGGCGCATGCAGTGGTAAGTGAGGCGCTGTTCTGTGAGAAGCGGTAGGAGCTGTTGAAGAGATGGCAAGTGTTTTCCTCCTCATAGCCCCGAGCTGTCACCGCCTTGGTCAGGATCCCATGCCAGTTAGTCAGCTTTCATGCAGCAATGATTCGGTGTGCCAGTTGTAGCATTGTTGGTCGCATGACGGGGATTGCTGGCACTCGAATCCCATTAGAACAAGCATTGTTGCATTCAGCGTTCTACCGTGACAGGCTTTCAACGCTGAAGTGTGACGCTGCTGTACGAATGTAGAATCGCCATTAGTTACATGGAATGTTATCATACACTGTGCTAAAAAGAAATGTCCTGCAAAAGACGCGCGCGTCTTTTCAGAGTTATTTTGTACGCTTCGGCTACACCAATTACAGGAAGTTTCAAGACTCAGATGAGGCTGGGGCTCTAACCACCCTTGAAAATGATATCAGAAAATTTCAGAAATTCGCTGGCCTGCAAAGCACTGGTAAGATCCAGCGTGAGTAATGAGCGAGAGAGAGAATGAAGAGAGAGAGAGAGGGGAAGGGGATAGAAGAAAGAGGGAAAGAG